CAAAGTCCCGACCTGGGGAAACCAGCCCCAGCCAAGACAGAGACATTTGCCCAGTCTTCAGCTCGGGGTTGGTTCGCATCTACGGTACGCCAACAAGACGAGGGCAGGGTGAGAGTCCTGGGGAAGGGGGATGGGTGGGCTGTTCATTTGGGCGCGCGCAAGTAGTCAGGTCCAGGTGCAGGATTGCCGGGCAGGTGACATGGTCTTGGGCCTCCATCTCTCTCTTTCTCTGTGCATTGCATGCGCTTGCCTTCCCGTCCCGTCCAAAAGAGCAAAGAAAGAAAAAAAAGAGAGCGAGAGAGGCAGTCAGGCACCCTGGGGGTCGTCATGTGTCTCGGCCGAGCGGAAGGGGGGGACAGCAACCAGGATCTTTTGACGAGAAGAGCCAAAGGTGCCGGTGCTACGCTGTAATGAGGTAGCGAATGCGGGGATTTGGGGCAGGCAGGCGGGCAGAGGCACCGGAAACCAGGGTCTGAACACGACGGGCGATACCCTGCTGAGTTGCCCCCTCGGTATTCGCTCGGGTCGGGAAGGGAACGGTGCGAGGAATCGGCAGGCAGGCAGGCAGGAGGATGCATGGGGCCTTTTCTCTCATACTTGCAGTATGCGTACAAGGTACCCAACTACATCGTGGAGGTGAAGTTGTGGCGGCAGCGGTGTGTGCGGCTCCGTGGTGTGCGGATGGAGGTCTGCTGCTGGTAAGGTACCTTGCTCTGTTGGAGTGAAGAGATGAGAGGAGGTGTGGAGGAGACGGGCTCCGTTTTGCGCGGCAGTTCGGGCCGTCGCATCTGAGGCCCTTTCTTTCGCGGTTTCTTTTCTTTTATTCTAGAAGAATGAAGGGGGGGGGGGCCATATAGCAGAGGGCACATATCGGGCGACCTGAGGTTAGGGCGGGCTGGTAGTGAGGTGGTAGTGAGGTTGGGGTAGCATTTCTGGGGTTGGGGGGAGCTGGGGGGTCCAGTCCGGGGTTTGTGTGGCGCGCGTGCCTGGCTGTGCGCTGGAGCTGTCAGTCAACTCAACGACTGCTGCAGGATGTGGGAAACGGGAAAAGGCGGGGAGAGGGAGAATGAGTGAGTGATGGGTGCTCAGCTACACTGCCAGCTCGCTGCCCACGATTTGAATCCAACATATCAAATGGGAAGGATCTGAAGGAAGTTTTGAGTTGGGAGGGGGTTGGGTGGATGGACGCATGGAAAAGGGTCTCTGGTGGTTTTCCGTGGGTTGGTCGACCCTGGATTCGGGTCACGCGCGGCGTTCCTGGGTGTTAATCTCGACGCCGGACGGGACTGGGAAGGGATCAGCATCAGCAGCCAGCGCTGTTGGTAAGGTTTTCGGGGCAAGTATTGCGGAGATGCGGGGGAGAGGTAAGGTACCTACCTCAAGCTGCTGAACGCGTGTGGAGGGCTGGCTGTATGGCTTTGGCAAGGCGCGATTGGTACGAGGGCGGGATACGAAAGTCTAGTTGGCTTCGGCGTGTCTGGCGACGGGACGGAATGGTCGGTTCGAGGTTGTTTTGCTCGTGTAATATTCGTTTGAGGGGTGCGCGGTGCGCCGGGGATGGGCGGGGGCGGACGGACGACGGCCGTGCCGAACGGAGGCCGGGCTTGACGCGTGACCACTCCGGAGAAGCTGTGCGACTCTTAGAAGGAGCCAGCTATAGCCTGGCTTCACCACCGTTTGGACGACACCTGGAGCGGTCTCAGATGGAATCGTTCGCCTCTTGTCTTGTGCCTCAGGGGCGGGTGCATGCATTGCATGTGCCATTCGCTAAAAGAGCAGACTCCGGGGAGATGCCGTGGTGACGGCCGGCAGTGTAATTGTTACCCTCCGTCGTTTACGAGATACGACCGGGCCACTGATGCTGATGCGGATTGTCAGAGCGAATCCGAGGGGGTATGCTAACATCACACCATGAACGGGCACCCAGACCTACCGGCAGATGATGGGGAGCGTTTCCACATGGAGCATATTCATGATTTGTGATCCTATACTTATCAAGTGAGTGAGTGCAAAACCACCTGTACGCCTGGAGTAAGACGTCTTGGGCTTAAGAGCTCGACCAGACTCCCGAGAATATGTGCTGGGCGAAGACACTTCATTTTCTGGGCGAATCGGCTTCAATCAGAGCGATTTGGCCGCGTTCGTTCTATCTCTAGTACTCAGATGCTGCGCGGGAAGTGAAACAAGCACCGTCAACTCGGTGAGATATCGGTGCGTTCTTCCCCTGCTGGCCCATATATGAACGGCTCGCAGTATTGGTGATTTAGAAGTGTATCCATGTACCCCATTGGATGTATGTTATTGCAACTCATAATAATATAGCTTGCACAGTAGTGTTTTAACGCCTCTCAGACATGAAAATCATGGCCGCCCTCTAGACGAAGATTGGCAACGCTCCGGTGAGTTTCTTAAATAGTCTCTAGTCCAGTCCAAGAGAAGTCTACACGGCCTATATTCCTAGGACACTGGATTTGCTTGAAAAGGACCATGTAGAGTACTGTGAATATGTCTAAAGTTCCAGACGTGGCATTTGATTTCCACATTTGCTCGGTTAACAAGTTCCAGGTTCTATCGGCAGCCATCGTCGACTGTTCTCTCTGTTTTGTAAGGTTCCAGCCACCGAAGCTACAACCATTACTGACGAACTACTAGAGTAAGCCTGGTTGAACCTATTATATACACTACAGTGACCGCGAGCAGAAACCACTGTTCACAATACACATGAGACGCTATGATCTTGTATGTTCCAACAAGCTTGATCCATCACAATTCACCGTGTTGAATGCTCTTCTTCTGCAAAGAATAGTACCGAACGCGTTATCATCCCCATACCAAGGTTAGAGCTTGAAGTCATTCGATCCACAGCATAAGTTAGCAGTACCGCAAACATGTATACTGATCGCTCTCTGCGGGAACCCATTTCACAGCACGAGAGGTTTCTTCCCATTCGCCGAGGTGACTGTCTTATCAGATCCCTGTAGCCTCTTGTAAAGGCAAGATTCCTCACGAACCCACAGCGCCCGGTATGCAGCAATGAAAATGGCGCCGAACCAGATATTTGAGGTACCTTGATCAGGAATATGATGCGAAACCAAACATGAAGCCACAATGATTTTGAAAGCCCGAATTCATCGGGCTGTCGGTCATCTCCGTCCCTTACTACTTGAGAAATATTCGTGTTCTCGAGAGGTGTATCGCTTTGGAGGACCGTCTGGAGTAAACTGACCAACGATTGAAGCTTTTAAAACGTGACTTACAACCGCTCGTTCTGCTTTTTTTGATGCGGTAAGTGACTCGGGTCAGTCGGCGTACCCGATCGATTGATCAATAACATTCCCGTGGCATCCACAGCAGAGGAAATGACAAGATAGCATTAAATCCCTTTAAAACTCCACGCCGTCGTCTAGGCCGGATGAAACTATCATGTGTGTACATCAACACTTATGTTGAGTTCCTGGAGCTGAATGGGGATGTCTGGAGGCTCTTGAGCATGCCGGATGTGGCCACGCCGGGACATGCTGAATATCAACACCCTCAACTCGACCACACTAACTCAATGGTGTGAAGGCTCTTTATTCCATCTGGCAATAGAATAAATGGGGAGAAAGGGCGTTCATGATGCTTTCTTCTAGCTATGCCCCGCTACACGCGAAGTTCGAAGGAGGCACGTACCTCAATATGATAGTAATACATCTCTAAGCAACTAGACAAGCATGCTCCGTGAGAATGAAGCTGTCACCCCTCGTCATTCTACTCGCGATTTGTCTTCAAGGCATTGTCATGGAAGTATTCGTACCTACACCAGCGATTGTGTGATATTTGCTTCAGAAAAGGTCAACATCCAGTCAAGAGCTTCAGCCACTGTATACGAACTCTTTTTCAGGAAATACAGGCAATTCTCAACGCCTGGATTGTGTGTTTCTGTGTAGAAAGGTATTGCCATTATTGGCACGGATAGATGGTTCTGCTCAGAAAGGCACTTGAAGCCGTTTGTCCTTCAGGACGCGTCGCCCAGACGATACAAGTACCAATTGTCTCGTTTAAAGTGATATTCCAAGACCGCCAAAATCGAATGGTAATACAAGACTTCTTCTAAGCTAGGCTGTATTTCGCAGTGATTCATGCATGCGAACTATCGTCTTGTAGCCACAGGATAATATGTGACCGATATAGCAAGCTTCCTTCGTACTTTTCCACTGCCCGGTGAGTATTCTCGCCGTATAAGTTGACGTTACGTAGATACTTAAAACGTTCATCAGGCTCCTTGGCTATTATACCTCATAAGATTGTGATGAGAATTTTACTTTAAGGTTTAAGAGCACTTAGGATTTGCGTGAAAGTAGTCATTGAGCATACGTCGACATCTTTATTCACGGTTTCGGACCATATCATCCAACCCTACCTGCCTCTCACGCCTCACACGGAATAGGGAAGAAAACAAAAGCCTCGCACGCCTCAACGCACACTAATCGCCGCACAGAACCTTCCTAAACTGGCGAAAAACATACTCTCCCTCCAATCCACAGAAGCCACAAATCTGACCGTCGAACATCGGCCGAAAGGCCCGTCCGGCCCCTCGGACCTCGCCGGGGCGGCTTATCTTATCAACCCCGCCTCCCCCCACCTCGCCGCGCTGGACTCGGGAGACCTGGCGACAACCTCATCTCATTTCCCTCTCCTCATTCATTGCGAACTCACTCACTTACACTGACATCCCGCCACACTCACTATCCAATGTCTCAGTGAATAAGTCCTGCAGCATCATTCAGGGAACTTCATCAGAGAACCACCCCAAAACCCCAAAGATGAACGCCCCTCCTCCGCCAGAGCTCAAAATCTCCCCGCCCCTCCTCAACTCCGCCAACCCCTGGTGCACAACGCTCTCCGACCTCAAAGCCCTCCACGCCTCGCCGCACACCGGCGCCCTCACCACACGCACCTCCCTCCTCTCCGGCTTCGCCCACTCCGACGCGCGCCACCAGTACACCTTCTTCTCCCCATCAACCTCCCGCCCCTCCCCCACCGTCCCCAACTCCTCCTCCCACCACACCACCCCGAAGGACCTGCGCCCAGAAGACGTCGCCTCGCTCAACAACCTGGGCTACTCCCCGCTCCCCCTCGACACCTACCTCGACTTCATCGCCGAGCTGCCCACATCCCCCATCGAGGGCCACCACCACCGCAAGCTCATCATCGTAAGCGTCACCGGCTCCCCGAACGAGATCGCAGAATGCTACGCCCGCGTCGCCGCCTTCGCCGCCACGACGACGCACCCGCTCGCGATGGAGATCAACCTCTCGTGCCCCAACATCGCCGCCGCCGCGCCGCCCGCGTCGGACCGCGCCCAGCTGAAGGCCTACCTCGCCGCCCTCCCGCAGACGCCCGCCGTCCCCGTCGGGCTGAAGACGCCGCCGTACACCCACCCGGCGCACTACCAGGAGCTCATCGCCGCGCTGCGCGAGGACGCGACCGTCGTGACCACGAACGCGATGCTCAAGGTGCCGAGCAAGATCAGCTTCATCACGGCGGTGAACACGCTCGGCTCGTGTCTGTTGTTGGAAGAAGAGACAGATGAGCTGGCGCCGCGGCTCCCCGGCTCCGGGCTCGGCGGCATGGCCGGTGCGCCGCTGCACCCGCTGGCTTTGGGAAATGTCAAGACGATTGCGGAGCTGGTCTCGCAGGAGCCCGAGTTGTTGCACATCAAAGTCATCGGGGTCGGCGGCGTGTCGGATGCGGATGGGTTCAGGCGGATGAAGAGCGTCGGGGCGTATGCCGTCGGGGTCGGCACGGCGCTGGGCAGAGAGGGCGTGCAGGTTTTTGAAAAGATTTCGTCAGGGTTGGCAATGTAGGTTGGTCACGATGGAAGCTCACGGAAAAGTTTTGAAGCGGTCAAGATATGAAGTGTCTAAATCATAACTTTTCATTCATCGAACGTCATTATCATTGGGTATATAACAATTAATATAAACAGGCTCAATGGCCTGCACAGTAATCAAAAACATCGCTCATTCATACGGTCTGGGACCGTGTATCGTTGCTCGCCTCAGACGACTTGTTGGAATTCTTTTCTTCAGAATGCTCAACGGCCGGGGGAGTAACGCTTTCCCCGTTGGTTCTGCCAAACGGGGATATTTTGCTAAAGATACTGCCTCGCTTGCGCTTCGCCGCAATGGTGGACAGTGTTCGTCGGCGCCTCCTTACTTCGCGGTTCATGTCGATCTCGTCTTCGTGAGCCTGACGCTCCTCGGCGGTGATGACCGAGTGCTCGGGATTCGTCATAGCCCTTGCGTCCTTGAGGGACTCGAGCCAGATGGGGTAAAAGGCCGTCAGCACGAAGAGGGCCACGATGAGGACAAATGCAAGCTGCACCGTGGCGCCGTTGTTGATGATGGCGTACATGACGTAGGGGAAGAAGGCGGCGCCGGAGCCACCCATGGTGATGAAAGCGGCCGCCCGCTTCGTCCGCCGGCCCTGGCCTCGAAGGCCGATGGCAAAGATTAGCGGCCAGACGGGTCCTTCGCCAAAGTAGAACAGGACAACCGGGATCAGCAGCATGTTGGGGTCCGCCGGCCTGAGCACCACCGTGAGAAGGGCAGCGAAAAGCGACAGGCCCACGCTGATTGATAGCCACGTTCTCGGCTTTGGCATGCGAGGGTTTCGAACGGACAAGTACGTGAGGTATGCGACGATGAATCGCGATACGGCAAATGCGCTGTGGGCAACGAGGTGATAGTCCGTCACCCCCAGTGCAAGGCCAGGCGGTTTGTCGCTGTTCTCCCCTGGGTTCGTGTCTGCGTTCGTTGCCGCTGATCCGGCGTCTTCTTGGTTCGGAAGGATGGCGATGAGCAGGGCGCGAAAAAATATGTTGTTGCATTCTTGCGAAGCGACGTAGGTCCATTGGGCAATGACGGCAAATATTAGGCTCCATGTCCGGAGTTGTAGCCCGCCAATGCTGCGCTTATGGGGGTTGACTGGCAGCCGGTCTGCTGTTTCTTGTAGTTCGTTGTCGTTTAGTTCTGGTAGGGGCATGTAATAGAAGAACAGCCCGAGGGCCACACACAAAAGCGTGATGGCAAGGTAGGTCCATTGGACGTTGAGTAGCGTTGTGGAGTTGTCGTTGGTACCGTCCTGATTGGTGATCTTGGTGAAGAAGACCCGCTGAGCCATCAGACCGCTTAGAACGGCGCCGATGCCTTGAACGCCCTGGGCGAGCAGAAGTCGTGTCTCGCCGTACTCTGGCGGTCCACAGAGAATCAGGAAGGCGTTCGCACCTGTTTCCAGGACGGACAAACCAAAGCCAACGACAAAGTTGCTGAGTAAGAAACCACCCCAAGACTTGGTGACGGCAGATGGCCAGAAGATAATGGTCCCAACGCCATAAAAGCAAAGTCCAACAATGAATGTCACCTTGAAGCCCCCGACGCTCTCGGCCCCGTGCCGGTTGTTCTTCCGGTTTCTGCGGTGGTGCTCATCGCGCCTCAAAATCCACTCACCCACGACCAAGGGGCCAAAGAAGTAACCGCCGCCAAAGTACGCGGTTGTGAGACCAAGCGTCTGGGCCACAGACATTTGTGAGACGCTCGAAATGACGTTGTTGAGGGTGTTGAGCAGGCCGTACGAGATGCCCCACATCAGGAATAGGATGGTAACCACGAGGCAGTAGCGGAACGATTCTTGAGAATCACACTTGACCATGCTTTTCGGCCGCCTCATATTGACGAAGCCAAAATAGATGGTATTCTCTCTGCTGGTCGCCATGGAAGTTCTGGTCCTCATCCCACCTAGCCTGCCTGCGCTGGACGCCTCGAATTGTTCTAGCGTCATTTCGGGGGTGGTGAGAAACTCGAGCGCGGTCAGCCCATTGCCATCGGTGTCTGCAGTCGTAGGATTCAAAGACGCTCCGAAATCTCGGCTGGCACGAGCTGCCGCAGGTGGCTGCTGGACACTGACACTGCCACGGTTCGGGTTCGTTGTCGGCAAAATCAGGCCGTCGCTGCCGTTACGGTTTCTCGGGCTGTCCAGGATGTCCTTTTCCGTCTGAGTGCTCGAGCGCGTTCCGTCGGGGTCAATGATCATGGCAGGGAGGATCTTGATGATGAGAGGCTTCAGAGTCGGGATGCAAGCACACGACATTCCAACGTTCACCTCCACAGCTGACCACATGAAAGACAGGGACGAGTTCCAAGCGAAGTTCGGGGTGCCGCCAAAGCGGGAGTTCGGGTCGGTCGATACGCCGGTAGGGACAGAGGTGACGGCTTGCTGTAAGTAGTAGATGCGGACGACGTCCACGACAGTAACAAAGATACCGAGGGTAAAGGTAAGGACGAGGATGATCTTCTGTCTCGGAGGCAGTCTCATGCCGGTTAAGACTGGTATCGGTAGGGCCAAGATGGCCAGATCGGTGACGATATTTATCGGCGCTGAGCAAATGAATTCGGTAAGCAGCGGGATGCATTGGGAGGTGTCCTGCCCAACCTCCCACGCTGCCTGAACGGGTCGACATTGAAAAATGTTCATGAGGGTGAGCACGGTGCCAGCGAGATTGACGATGCCCAGAGTGACCCAAGAAGCGAATCTAAGTACTTTTTGGGTGTTTTTGGAGAGTCGCAGGTAAAAGATCAAGACGGCGGTTTTTGTTGCCATAAGGGCGGGATTCTGCGAGGTTGTAAGCGGGAGGCGGCCACAGCGCGACACGGCACGCCAAAAGCGCCAAGAGGTCACTCACATAGAGTATTGAAAAGACATATTCGCACGCTCGCAATGAATCCCAATGGCTCCTAGCAATGTCGGAATCATAACGGCCAAGTCCTCTACGGGTGCCGAAGCAAATGGTGAAAGACAATCCAAAGGCAATCAGCCAGGCCAGGAACATGGTCTTGTCGTCCCAGCTGACATTTCTGACGATGAAGCGCCTGCAGAAAAGGCGGGCGGCTACCATGACACTCGCTAATACGAATGTTGCCGTTGTCACGGCAAAGACAGCCGGACCACGATCCGGGACGCCATCGTCAGTGGCAGTGACGACTGACATGCTCGGCGAGAAGAAGCGTCGAGGCAGGGGGAGTCGACCAGGATTTACCACCACGGAGGTTTGGAGAAGGACGGTGGGTTGCTAACTGTACACCGATGACAACCATGCCATGGCTTTAGGGTCTGACACATGGACGCAGTAAGTATGTTGACGTTCGGGGCGCAACTCGCTCGGCGGGCATCGAGGGTCCTGGGCGAAGGACGTTCGGCAGGGGCGTAGCTATCGTGGGTTGGACGGGCACACGCGACGAGGTCGACAGGTTGGAGAAGCTTTGGCGATGGCTGTTTGGGGAGATGGGAAAAAATGTCGGGGTCGCTTAGTCGTTCGTGGCGGCCGGGGAAACGGGTAAAGAAGCTGGCTGACGGGAAAAGGCTGGGGCAGTAAAGTTGGAAGTTTTTTCCCCGTCGATGTAGTCTGGTGCAGTCATGTAATCCTTCTAGCTGCAAGCTTGCGCGAATATGTTCGTAGTCGGCAGTTCCAAGTGGTGTGGAGGTCCGACGAATCCGCGGCGCGCAATTGGCACTGGCACAGGCAGAGAGGGCGCAAGCGTCATACAAGCTGCTGCTGGCAAGAACAAGCGGCAGGCAAGCGAAGTCAAGTCGGTCGGGTCGGTTGAATGCTTAAGCCGCAGGCGAGGACGGACGGGAAAGCCAGCAGACTCGGGAGGAAGAAAGCAGAAAAGTAGAAGAAAGAATTGGCGGAAAAGATGAGATGGACGGACGGTGAGGCAGCAAAGTACAAGGCCGGTAGACTCAGGCAAGGTAGGTAGAGGGAGAGAAACGGGCGAATGCGAAATGCTGGGCGTTAAACAACCCAACGCTAAGTAGGGCGTACCTTGTTCGGTATCCAACCTGGTTCCCTACATACAAAGAAGGTAGGTACTTTGTGGAAGGTACCTGCCTCCGCAAGTGGGCAAAAGCAAAGCGAGAGGTCGGGTGGGTTTTTTTTTCTTGGGTACAGTCCACACCTCATTCTCACACACACTTGGGAGCAGGTTGCTTGTTTGCTGTGCTGCTGCTGCGGCGGTCTTGGCATCAAGGTTGATTTTTTTCGTTATTATTTCCAGGTTTGCAGGGTTGGCAGAGTCCGGCAATAAAGCGCAAGCCTCGCAACCTACGCAGTACTACGGTATACATACTATCATTATGACCTAAGGTATGCTGGCATGCAGAAAACGGTGGTCGCTGATGGATGTTGATGGCTAATCACCAACGGGCGGCAAGCGGACATTCAGCCACTGGTGTTGCAGAGTTTTCCGATGCAGGACAGGAGCCACGGCGCGCTCAGTATGGAAAGGCATGGATGGATGGAGGGACAATGGAGTGAACTGTGAGAGCGATGGAGTGTTGCTTTGCCGAAGGATACCTGCTCTGCTCCCACAATAATTATTATGGAGTGAAGTGGCTACCTTGCTATGGAGTACACACTGATTCTGCACTTATTCCGCAGCACCTGCTGCGAAGAAAGTAGCGCGCTGGACGAGTGGGTGACGATGCGAATCAGAGCAGGTCTTTTGCAGTGCTCCCCCGCCGCAGACAGGGCGGTCGCTGTCGGCCTCAGCCAGCGCCGTCCACATGGACCCGACAGCGTCCAGTCCCGTTGCCGCCTCGGAGTGGCAGAGCGAGATTGCCGTGGACCCCTCGCAGCTCTCCGCTCGACTGAGTCCCAAGATTCCCCGACACTACTGCGAGTCTGCGAGAGCACATAAGCTCCATGGAGTGTACGGAGTACCAAGGACGTTTTGCACTTGCATTCGCTACCGCTTAATCCACACCAGCGGTGACGGGCCATGATGAATAGCACTGACAGACAGGCGGCAATGCGCGAGATAACGACGACACCCGGCTTCCTTGTCAGCAGGCCTTGTAAGGACACAGAGCCTGGCAATTCCCTAGAGTGAGTCCAAAAACAACAAGACATGGATGGACTGCGGAAGCACCGCGGCAGGATGGAGGAGGGTCGAACGGTGCGGCGTCTTGGGATACGGCTGTGGAGCTGTCCTGCGGTATCCGCTCGTCTGTGCCTCTCAGTGTTCGTACCGCCAACCGCCGCAGGAGTCTCCCTGGTGCGGCTGGTACAGATAGCTTGGCGAATTACGGCGAACTGCGTAATAATGGGCGGTGGGCGATGACATCGAGTGCGTCGATCCTCGTCTCTCTGGAAGCCAATCACGCATCTTGTCGCTGCGGGACTACCCCGGATTCTGGGCCTCTTTGGGCCAAGCTCGAGTTCGCTCCTGCCTGCCAGCTGGACCCAGGCACACGCGCCGGGATGCCCTGACCTCGAGAACCCAGATGAACACTTCTCTAAGAAGGGAAACTTCCAGGATGGCCGCTGGACCGGCAGCTGGCACGGCACTCACACAAAATAGAAAGAGCACTTTCAACTTTTTGAAGCACATCCACGGGATATCCACAATACAATGGATGTCATCCACTGAACGCCTAAATCCGTCGGCCACAGTCCACATCCAACATCTCCTGGGTGCTCCTCCCGAAGGTCCCCTCGGCGTCCTCCCGCCACCTCCTCAGCTGGCATTGGGCGAGGTAGAATTCACAGGTACACCGTACGGCGGTACACCACGATTACCTCTTGGGGGACCGAGTCCGAATACACCAACAGCCAAGTCCCGACTTCTACTATGGACAGACAGACCCCAAAAACAAGATCCGGATCACTGGGAACCTCCAACTTAAACTCGGCTCAAGGTTGTGAATTCGCCACCGTCCACACAAGCTCGCGCCTCCACGTCCTCCTCATCCGAGGATTCCCCCTCCTTCAGACGGGGAAATCTCGCTCTGCTCTGTAATCAGCATCCATCCGGTCCCCGTCGCCGACGCGGCTCAAAGCCCCCCGCTACCTCGGCCCTGTCTTACCATCTACCTCGCGCTCTCTCTCTGTGCGACGTGAGCAGTGCGGAAAATGCACCACGCGACCCCGGTTCGTGGTGAGACAGACCGACTGAGAGAATAACAGAACAAAAGTGGAGAGACACTGAGGAGAAGCCTGCTGAAGGACGGGAAAAAAATTCTCATGCTCTCTGTGCCTCAATGCGACGGCGACTGTGAGAGAGGAGAATCAGGGCCGAAGCGGTGCAATGGCCGACGCCCAAAAAGAGCGCCAAGAAACCACAGCCTGCAGACTGCTGCGAATTGCTTGGCTGGCATTGGGCCTCTGCTATGCAGAAGATGGGGTTTCTCTGTTGTGGTGCTCCCCCCAGTCATGGCGCGAGAAATGGACCGAAGTACGAGCGGGCCATGCCATGCCATGGCCTGTATCCGTACTGCGGTAGGCTGTGGGTGATAGTTGATCTACCATATCGTCTAACACGACGAATTGTGAATACGGACCCTTTGTCGATCGCATGAGGGTTTAAGCATGAAGGGGTGAGGGGGTCCAAGAGGAGGTGAGAGTTGCTGCGCCAGACGAACAACTGGCAGGACGACAAGGTCAGCAGATGCCACCTTGCTTGCTTTGGATACCAGTCTGCCAGGTATGGCATGGTATGCCACGCTGTTGCCGCCTCTTTTGGGGACTGGACGGGATGGAGGCATTCGAGAGACGAACTCGACGCTTGTGGGGACCGCAACTTGTCAATCTGCAGCTAGCTGCGGTCAGGGACGACGACGGCACCTCGTTTCTGTCATGGTGTATTGGTGTTTGCCGCTTCGCTCTCGGAAAGCTACCTGGGATGAAAAGGCCGGCTTGCGAGTGGTCACCACGTCACTGCCAAAGCAACCCGATTACCGACACTCCGTCACTCCAGATGTTGGCCAAGGCAGTCTGTCCCCTTCTCTCAGGACCAGTCTCCTTGTCAAGTGTTGGGACGGGTTGATCGGTCGGTTATCAGGTGCTCTCCCTATTTGGGGAATCTGTGCTCAAGGTCCGCTGCCGGCGCCAGCCACTGCCACTGCCACTGCCACCGCCTCTTCCAGTGACATCGGAAGTCACCGTACCTTGAGGCAAGGTAGTCAGTCACCTGCATTCCTCGTGTCGCTATCGCGCAGCCAAAACCGCACCGCACCGCAGGTATCTGCAGCGATGTTTCCCACCTCAACCGCCATTCTCCACGGCCACGTTCGACATTCGACTTTGCCTGTTCCGGCCCTTGGTCCAGCCCAATCATCCACCTATCCATTGTTGCGCTTGGAATTGGCTCTGCAACAAGCTATTGGTGGCGTCCGTGTCAAAGAACAGACAATGACTCTCCCCTCGCTCGGAGGCGCCCCCGGGTGCATCGACGGGCGCCTCACTGAGTATCGTGTCACTGTCCACGACGCCCGAGGGTCTTACTATGTACGCCCAGACGGGAGCTGACTCAGCTCACCCGTCAACGAGAGGCTTCTCTTCACTTCACCTCCAGCCTTTGAGGCCCTGCTGGCTGTCCCACGGGCATCATCAAACATCGGTGTGCCTGCCCAAGTGCAACAGTGTACCTACGCCGTGGGTAGCAGACATGTCGCCAAAGACCGAGTCAAGAGAGAGATCGCCCTTTTCCGAAACCAAAGCTCCGCCAACAACACACCCGTTCCATGGAGAAACAACGTCATCCGAACCCTCGAGGAAAGAACCTTCTTTTTTCTCTCATTCTCACGTTTCGACGTCTCCAGGACTCCAAGCGCACCGACAGTCCCCAGATCCCAGATCCCCTCCCCTCCCCTCTCCCCTCCCTCCCCGGTACCGGTAGTGGATAGCCTGGCGGACCAACCCCACGCCATGAAATCTTGGAAGCCATTGATAACCTCTTTACTGAAAAGGCAAGGACCCGACTCCCATAGGGCCAGATATCGGATCGTCGACTGCAAGCCCACCGTGCCGTTTCCACAGACTGCAACTCTCAGAGTTTCAAGCTGATGACGGCCACGATGAAAATTCTGAATTAAGGACACCGCAGGCACTGGAAGACGCCATTCTGACATTTTTACATATCCCCTCTGTTGATCAGGACCGCATTCGCGTGCGGCTCCGTTGTGCTTGGCTGGCCTTTTCGCGACCTTGCG